GGTGGGTTTCCGTAGGTCATAAACTGGTCCCTGTTAGCAGCCATTCCATTGGCGGGTGCTTCTGGTCAGCACTGTCCATGCTCTTCCCACACCATATGCAAAATGACTGGAATACCCGTCACACCGGTGCTCTCCCAGAACACAAGGAAGCAAAACATCCAGTATCGGGCAGGCACTGAACAACACTAGCGCCCTCCTCACAGGGGCAAGAGGGAGAGACAGAGCAAAACTCTCCTCTGGTGGGTGAGAGCGGAGCCTGCCCCTCCCCAGCAATGAGGGAAGGAGAAGGTCTCCTTCCAAACAGGCCCTAAGAGAGCAGGGAGAGTGGAGCACCCCTCCACATATGCCGGGATCAAGAGCTCCACTAGGAATCCCTGGAAGGACTAAAAGCGGTAGCTCAAAGGAATCTGGGAGATGGGGTCACGTGCAGGGGGTGGAGGAGTAGCTGCATCTTGCGGTACTGGAGGGGAGAGAATGAGACCAATCAGCCTGTGTGGACGGTACATGTCCTTATTTGTATATTTATGATGATAGCACTACTTCTCATGGCCTACGGCTCCCAAAGTGCTTTACACACTGTATAGGATTCACCCCACAACTTGGAATGCAGGAACTTCTCCTGCTGCCCAGGGAACTGCCCACAGTGCTGTAGGACAGGAAGTGAGGGAGAATTCTCTGACCAGCGGAAGCAGCAGCAGGGGGTTAAGATTTATCTATGGAATATAATGCCCCAACCAGGCGTTTGTCCGAGACAGCAGGGGCAAACACCCTGAGTCGGGGCACAGTGCTATGGACTCTTTAGGAAGGTCACCCCGTGAATCACCATCGCCATTTCCTGCAGCACTTGTGTCTCCCATCCAAGCACTGGCCAGTCTGGACCTTGCTTCTTTTATCTGTTACGATCACAGTCCTGAGCAGTAGAGTTTTAACCAGGGAAGGGATGAGACGGGCTTCAAAGTGTGCACTGCTGAACAGCTGTTCATTAGTCATAAGCAACGTCCTTCTCATTAACACGCTCACTTTCTGCGTTCAGTGCACCTAATTTTAAATGAGCTAAGATACATGAATGAACATATATCTGGCTTTTAAATCTCCCAGGTGGCTACGTGGGGAGGTGCCCCTGTAGGTGGGCTACGGGTGTGAATCAGAAGCGTTTGTGGCTACGCTGGATCATCGTCAGACCTCTGGACTCGTAGATGCTATTCAGGCATCAGTAATCACTTCTTAATAGAACAGTCCTCCTCTTGGCCCATCCTGCTTTGTCAGTCAGCCCCTTGCCTTCCTTTGAGTAATGCCCATCTCAGAGCCAACCAGTTTACTCTGTGAAATGAAACCATACCCCCTTGGCCGTGATCTCACTAGATCTCATGTCTGTACAGGTGCTTTAATGTTCCAAGTTATTAGATGTTATGTCAGAGGACCCCAAACTGTGGGGCATGCCCCCTTGGGGGCTGCAGCGGAACGTGGGGGGGGGCGTGGCTGGGGCCCAGGCCAGCCCCACAGGAGGTGGGGAGGGAGTGCCACTCAGCTTGGCTGCTGGCCCCATGCCCAGGGCTCCGCTTCCAGCTCCACCCCACCTTCAGCTGTGGCCCCAGCCTCAGCCCCCTTACCCTGTATGCGTCCCCCACTCCCGGAGTCGCGGTCTTGCTCCCGACCCTGGCTCGGGTGGGGGGTGATGGGTTTAGGGGTAAGGGAGGTGCGAGGTAAAAAGTTCGGGGACCACTGACTTATGTAGAAAAGGGACAAAAGCAGGTAATCACATGCCAGAAAAAAATAGTTGCTGCAACTATGTCTCCAAAATTGTGGCCTGTACTGTAGGTTCTCATCCCGATGCATTGTAGCATGTATTTACTTCTTTCTCCCCTGATCCACTTGTCATAGTCTGGGTCAGACCTTTTCGTGTCCTGGCCATTATGTTTTGTCAAGTGATTAAAAATGTATGGAATATTAAAACAGAAAAGCTGACCCACTTTAACCAGTCACATCACTCTTTGTCCTCTTTCAATTTGCTGGTTTTTTTCAAACCTCATCTTCTATCTGTCACTTGTCTTCGCCCTGCCCTCTGAAACCTCGAGCCTTAGTAACCTCCAGTGTTGCCAGACTCTTAACAGACCCACGGATAAACCAAGTGGGTCTTGCATTGATTACTGTGTCACTAATCATTACAGGGATTGAAAATGGCATTGGTCCAGGACCTTTATAGTTCGCTTGGGATCACTGCCATAAAACGCTTTGGTAGTTTGAAGGACCAGTGACAAATTCAAGATCTGATATATTGTGAACCAACAAGGCTACAGAGCCAGGCTGTATGCCACTGGAAAACCAGGAATCCTGTCTTAATAGCTTCTAGCATTGGTGGGGCCCAACCCTTTGGCTCAAGTGTTTCCCCCCAGTTCAATTCTAACATTATTTTAGAACCTAAAGAACATCTAGAGCTAAAAAGAAAATGTTCTCTACTGTCTGAAAGCTGGGCCTCTCAGCTTTCAAGTGTTATCAAGCATTAATCTCTAATATGAAGGGTTAATAGGTTACCAGCTGCTACAATCACACCAAAATTGCAGCTGCAAGGGGGCAAGAAGGTAATAAGAATGACATGATTTCATGGTCTGGTGTCTCAGAACCCACCATTAACAGTGCCTTCGAGACCAGTGAAGTTTGTGGCAAGTGTCAGATATGGTTCAAAACACACTGGAGACAGGCCTTTGAGTGCCAGCCCTGGAAAATTACAGGGATGGTGCTGGATGTCAATTATTTGGAAAGACCTGGGGCCTTTTGAATCCAGCTTGGATCAGGAGTGATCAAAAGTAGCTACCATCTCTTGGTTATTCAGGAATGTGGCCCATGCAAAGTGCATTTGGTGGATCCTTACTCTGTGAGAGGTGTCTGCTTTCAGGGTTCACAGATTGTGGAGTAGCCAGCCAGAGCTGGCTGCCTGAGCACCTTAATCTGTCTCTGACACTGCTAACTTTCAGGACTTTAAAAGCAGTTCAGTTTTTCTGCTGTCTCTCTGCCGAGCTGCTCAACTGTCCTCTCCCTAACTGCAAAACTGCAGCACTCGTGACTGTAACCCCCTCCAAGGAAAAACACAAATCTGCTTCCACTAGCTCCACATCCTCACTATGTTTCAGCTGTCCCACCCGCCCAGGGGAGATGGCTTGATGGTTCAGAGGGTGGTTCAGCTGCATGGCCCAGTCATTCTTTCAGTTCTCCCCAAGACTGCCAACTAAAGGGCTGGCAGGGATGCACAAATCCATCTAACAGGAACTGTACTGAAGCCACCAACTCCGAGGGTATGTCTACATGGGGATAAAAGCCCCACGGCATGGCCGACCCATGTCAGCTGCCTCAGGCTTGTGGGGCTAAAAATGGCTGTTCAGGCTTGGGCTGGAGCCCAACCTCTGGGACCTTGCCCAAGTGTCTACACAGTAATTTTTCAGCCCCGGAGTCCAAGACCTGTGAGCCAGCTGCACATTTGTTATCCCCGTGTAGACAGAGAGAGAGAGGCCTGCAGAGGGCATCGGCTTTTGGATATTACTGTGCTGGGTCAGATTCAGACTGGTAACCTGGAAAAAGTTCCCCATGCATCTCCTTGTCCTTGGCAAGGTTGGCTGATGGGTCCAGTGCATGTCAGTGTGTGACAGGCAGTAAAATGTGGGCTTGCTTAAATGTATAATTCTTCCTGCTTGTGTCTTAATCTTAGCTACCCGCTGCTTAAGCTCCCCTTACCTGGAACAGGACCTGTAGAGTACAGCACTCCGGTGAAGGATTACTCGCCACCTTCTTCAGAGCCAGGCCACCAGCAAGGAGATCCTAGTGAGAGACCTGATTGGGTAGGTCTTTTGAGTGTGAGTGTGTGTGTGTGTGTGTGTGTGCGCGCACACCTGAGAGAGAGAGCAGGGGGGCGGTGGGGAGTTCACTCTGGTGTTATTTGCATCTTAATATAGTGAACTGAAGAAGTGCCTTGTAATTTCTGCACCTTGCCTGGCTGTTAAATTCAGGGCTAATGTGCTCCTGTCGTTAGACTCGAATGCTGTCCGGAGACCCAATTCTGGGCCTTCAGAGTGGGTGGGTAAAAGCTGTCAAACGCTGTTCAGCAGGAGCCTGTCCAAGGGGAGACAGAGAACTGTATCCTGAGTCAAGTGTTGCATTTTGTTTGCTGCATTTTTTCAGAATTATTATTCAGTTGTTTTAAGTCAATTTAGTGCTAGTGGTAGGTGCTGGATTCTTCTTAGTGTATGTGCAAAGTGCCGCAGGTGGCACGTGCAGGGCTGCCCAGAGGATTCAGGGGACCTGGGGTCTTCAGCGGCAGGGGGCCCCTGCCGCCGAATTGCCACCGAAGACCTGGCACTTCGGCGGCGGGTCCTGAGGCGTAAGGCCCCCTCCGCCGCGGGTCTTCAGGGCACTTAGGCAGCGGGTCCTGGAGCGGAAGGACCCCCCGCCGCCAAACTGCCGCCGAAGACCCGGAGCGGAAGAAGCTCCGGGGGCCCGGGCCCCGCGAGAGTTTTCCAGGGCCCCCGGAGCGAGTGAAGGACCTCGCTCCAGGGGCCCTGAAAAACTCTCGTGGGGGCCCCTGTGGGGCCCGGGGCCTGGAGCAAATTACCCCACTTGCCTCCCCCCCCACCCCCCCCAGGCGGCCCTGGGCATGTGACCATGATTCAGCACCGAATTTGGTTCACTGGTTGCATCCTTAGCTTCCCCAGCCTGGGCCAGGGACTGAGACTGACGGGGAGCGCGACATGAACGCTGATCCTTGCCCCTGGGGCTGGATTGACAGCCCAGGAGACAAAAGGTCTCAGTTCTTCCCCTCCAACAGGGACAACGCAGGCAGTGACAGGGCAAGCTCCCCCACATACTCGGCTAGCATGCCTCAACTCTGCCATGGGACCCCCCCACCCCCATAAGGATGAGAATAGAGCTCAGCCATATTGCTGCTGTCATCCATGGAGATGCTACCAATCAGGGGGTCACTTACTGCTGTACCCCTGTCTGTGGGGATTTGGTCTCTGACCTACCAACCAGTTCACAACTCCTACTCCACTGACCAGCCACCAGAACGGAATGGCTGGCCCATCACTGCCAAGCTGAGCTGGGATCAGACTGCTGGCCTGGAGGTGAAAGGCTGTGCATCCCGGTTCCTGTGCCTTGAGCGCTTCAGTACATCCTGTGTGTTCCCTCCTTCGGCTCGGCTAGCTGCCTGGAGTGTCCGTGGTAACTCGGAGCCATTTGCTGCCAGTTCGGGTCTCATCTCCAACATTTACGCCTACTTCCTAAGGGCAAAACCAAGTGGTTTCCATTTGAGGTTAAGCAGCCACACTCGGAGCTGGGTGCCTGTCCCAGCGTGATAAGCCCATTGTGCTCTGGCAGTGGAGGCATGAACAAAGGGTTAACACTGACTTGGGTAGAAGCCAAGGGTTTCTTGTATCGGCCGGGATCGTGCAAATCAATGCTGCTGGTGTCCGAATGTACCGGGGAAGGGTTTGACTTTTCTTTGGCATGAGCAGCCTGTATCCACCGCCCTTCTCCTGGAGGCTGGGGACAGTTCTAAAACCTCCCCCTGCTCAGCATAGCTCTGCAATGCCTTTCCCTCCTGACCTAACGTAGATACAAGAACTAATGGATATAAACTGGCCGTGGGGAAGTTCAGGCTTGAAATTAGACGAAGGTTTCTGACCGTCAGAGGGGTGAAATATTGGAACGGCCTTCCGAGGGAAACGGTGGGGGCGAGGGACCTGTCTGGTTTTAAGATTAAGTTAGATAAGTTTATGGAGGGAATGGTTTAATGGTAAAACGTAGTAGTCAAGGAAAACCAAGCAATGGAAGGTAAATAGCATAATGGCTAAAAGGGGTCAGGATGGAGACTCTTGCCTATATGCTCGGGGTCTTACTGATCGCCATATTTGGGGTCGGGAAGGAATTTTCCTCCAGGGCAGATTGGCTGAGCCTCTGGAGGTTTTTCGCCTTCCTCCGCAGCATGGGGCAGGGATCTCTAGCAGGAGGGTCTCTGCCGATTGAAGTCACTAATAATATTATTGGGGGCTTGTGAAGTAGAGTTCAGGGAAGGGGTAGGGACGGTTTTATGGCCTGCAGCAGGCAGGGGGTCAGACCAGATGATCATAATGGTCCCTTCTGACCTTAAAGTCTATGAGTCTATGAGACCTGTGGGATCCCTGCGTATCCTAGTCCTCGGCGCGTCACAGCTCTGTCAGGGCACCTCAAGCCTGACCTGCAGCCCCCTGCTTTTACACTCCATCAGCAGAGGCTGCCAAGTGCATGAACATTTCTGGTAGATCAAGGTGTCCCCGCTCTTCTGGCTGTGGCTGAAGCCACCTGCCTTCCTCCAGGCTCCTGCAGCCAGCCCCAGGAGCAGCTCGCGTGTGCAGGGCTATAGGCTCCGGCTGCAGCTGGCTGAGGAAAGCTTCTCTTCAGCCCTGGCACTCAGGTCAGCTGCTAGAGCACGAAGGGTGTGGCCACCAGAGGCCACACCCACTCCAAAGCGGCGTGCAGCCTGCCGGGAAGGAATGGGAGAGCTACCAGGTGAGGGGGGAACGCGAGGGAATAAAATCTATGAAGCTAGAAAGAAACCAGAAAATGAGAGGAGGAAAACAGGCCATGGTTGGGTGTGGCACAAGAGGGCATGTGAGGGGCACCCGTCCGCCATCCATCAGAAAAGAGGGGACTGCAAGAAGGAAGGCTTAGGGGTTGATGCTGTAGGGTTTGCAGGAGAGATCCCCGCTCACACCACAGGCTTGCAGACTCCGCTGTCTCCAGAAGGTCACCTCTCTCTCTACCCCCGCTTTCCCCACAGTACCTGGGCCCTCCCGTGGCCTACATCCAGCAGATCTTGGTGAAAGCCACGGTCTCGCCATGGCACAAGAACTTCCTCGCTGTGGACGTGTTCCGCTCGCCGCTCTCCCGCGTCTTCCAGCTAGTGGAGGAGATCAGAAACCACGCCCTGCGAGACAGGTAAACGCCCATTGATTAGAGTATCTAGAGAGTCCGGATACCGAACTGGGCCTGCCACACTGACCCCCCTTCTGACCTAGTGCTCTGTGGGTCTAGCCATCAGGATTGAAATCCTTAGACTCCTGGAAATAAGGAAAGCAAGAAACTAAGTGGGCTTCATGGCAAATGATGTCACATCCTTTCCACACCCTGGTGTCAACAAGCTCGTATTACTCAAAAAAGGAATAGCAAAAAAATGTTTAAATACATGAGAAGCAGGAAGCCTGCTAAACAACCAGTGGCCATTGGACGATCGAGATGCTAAAGGCGCACTCACAGACAATAAGGCCATTGCAGAGAAGCTAAATGAATTCTTTACATTGGTCTTCACAGCTGAGGATGGGAAGGAGACTCCAAAACCTGAGCCATTCTTTTCAGGTGACAAATCTGAGGACTGTCCCAGATCGAGGTGTCATTAGAAAAGGTTTTGAAACAAATCGATACACTAAACACTAATAAGTCGCCAGAACCAAATGGTACTTACCCAAGAGTTCTAAAGGAACTCAAATGTGAAACTGCAGAACTACTAATTGTGGTATGTAACCTATCATTTACATCAGCTTCTGTACCAGATGACTGGAGGGTAGCTAATGTGACGCCAAGTTTTTAAAAAGGCTCCAGAGGCGATCCCGGCAATTACAGGCCGGTAGGCCTAATTTCAGTACCAGATGAACTGGTTGAAACTATAATAAAGAACAGAATTATCAGACACATAGATGAACATGATTTGTTGGGGAAGAGTCAACATGTTTTTGTAAAGGGAAATCATGCCTCACCAATATATCGGCATATGAAGAAGTGAGGTTTTTTACCCACGAAAGCTTATGCCCAAATAAGATAGTTAATTCCAAAGCAGACTGCAAAGAGTTACAAAGGAATCTCACAAAACTGGGTGACTGGGCAACAAAATGGCAGATGAAATTCAGTGTTGATAAATGCAAAGTAATGTACATTGGAAAACATAATCCCAACTATACACATAAAATGACGGGGTCTAAATTAGCTGTTACCACTCAAGAAAGAGATCTTGGAGTCATTGTGGATAGTTCTCTGAAAACATCCACACAGTGTGAAGCGGTAGTCAAAAAAGCAAACAAAATGTTGGGAATCATTAAGAAAGGGATAGATAATTAGACATAAAATATCATATTGCTTTTATATAAATCCATGGTATGCCCACATCTTGAATACTGCGTGCAGATGTGGTCACCGCATCTCAAAAAAGATGTATTGGAATTGGAAAAGGTACAGAAAAGGGCAACAAAAATGATTAGGGGTATGGAACAGCTTCCATATGAGGAGAGATTGGGACTTTCCAGCTTGGAAAAGAGACGACTAAGGGGAGATATGATAGAGGTCTATAAAATCATGACTGGTGTGGAGAAAGTAAATAAGGAAGTGTTATTTACTCCTTCTCATAACACATGAACTAGGGGCCACCAAATGAAATTAATAGGCAGCAGATTTAAAACAAAAGGAAGTATTTTTTCACACAATGCACAGTCAGCCTGTGGAACTCCTTGCCAGAGGATGTTGTGAAGGCCAAGACTAAAACAGGGTTCAAAAAAGAACTAGATAAGTTCATGGAGGATAGGTCCATCAATGGCTATTAGCTGGGATGGGCAGGGATGGTGTCCTTAGCCTCTGTTTGCCAGAAGCTGGGAATGGGCGACAGGAATGGATCACTTGATGATCACCTGTTCTGTTCATTCCCTCTGGGGCATCAGGCATTAGCTACTGTCAGAGGACAGGATCCTGGGCTAGATGGATCTTTGATCTGACCCAGTCTGGCCGTTCTTATATTCTTACATTTTTATGTGCCAGAGAAGCTGCCTGTCCTGTGTTCAGAAAGAGCTTTCGATAGCCTTCCAGTCACAGCCTTGGGCTGATGTCCTTGCTACACAGTGTTTGTCTTCAGTTCAGCTGCCCTTTTATAACATATGTGTGGATCGCTATCTGGTGAAGCCGCACATTCGTCAGTGGCAAGATATAAACCGTCTCCTCCTGGTGTGCACGGTATCTCTGATTACTGTGACCACGTCCTTGATGGGTAGCCACGCTGCATGGAAATGAAACAAGGCTCCATGTGCTCCGTGCCCAGCTAGACCTCAGCTCTGGGACAAGCCCCCCATTTCTGTGGCAGAGAAATAATTTCCAAACCAGATGTTCTTGAATTAAATCTGAAATTAATAACACTGTCAGTGCCATATTCTTGGGGCTCGCGGCTCGTTTTGACATCAAATTCCATTTATTTTAGTCTGCTCCACAATTGTTAAAGTGCTGCAAAAAAACTGTATAGGAAAAAGCGTATCTGCATGTTGAAGTTGTCAGTGGAGGGTTGGGCATCTCGGTATGGGACAGCCAGGGCTTTTTCCATCCAGAAGATATAGGAGGCAGTTTGCATTTTTTGCGCTGGAGACAGTTAAGGCTTTGGGCAGTTGTCCCTTCTGGGCAGGGACGGGGATGACTTGAAATGTTTGTAGTGGTTTGAACACCTAATGCCAGACCCCAGCAGCTTTGAGGGCAGCTAGCCATTCCATTGCCCCCCGTCCCAATCTCTGTCACTGCATCTGGCATTAGAGAGAAGCATGTGAGCCATATATACCTGCTAAACTGATCCGGGATGACAGAGTGGATACTGTTGACAAGAACTCTGTCACCATTAGGTTTCAGAGTCAATGCCTGACTGAGGGGACAGAGCAGAGTTCTGATGTCTTCCAGACCTGTTCCAAACTCTCTGCAGACTCAGGCAGGCCTCACTATGTCAGTGCCCATGCAGAAGGTTGTCTTTGCCTCCAGGAGGACTAGAAATGTCATTTTTTCTGAAGCGAAAGCCTCGATTTTGCTGTGTGGCTCTGCGGCTGGACATGGATTTTATGCTAGATCCTGCCAATTGCCTTGTCTGTGCTCACTCACAAGGAAGTAGTGCTCTCTTTTGAGGCAATGCTAGCCAACCCTGGCCCTGGTAGCCAGTCTGCCACTGGGCCTTGCACACTCGGACAAGTGCCAGTGTTCCCAGGCTGGGTCAAGTCAGATGCGTATCTGATTTGTTAGTGGATATCAAAGGATTGTGTAAGCATAGAAAGCAAGGCTTGAACTTCTATAACATGCATCACTTTATTGTGAATGTTCGTGTAAGCCGGACGTTAACATGAGTTCACACAGCTTTACCCACGGGGAGAGCAGCACTTTGCAATGCTGGGATAGGTGCTCTGAAATTGAGGCCTGGTCTTGCAGCCTGTACTCCTGTGAAGAGAGTCCCGTAAGCAAGGGCTGCAGGCTTGTGCCTGCAGATTGGAAACGCCAACCCATCCAAGCCATGTATCACTTGCAGGGCGGCGCTGCTGCCCACGAGTTCACACGGCTGGGGGCATTCCCTTCGCTGTGCACCACAGAGGAGCTTGGGGAAGATTTTGCTGAGTTGCTTGTGCTGAACAGTTTTACTCCTGCTGTGTCCTTCACACACTTGAGAGCCTGTGTGACCCCTAACTAATCCATGCGGGAAATACTGAGGGAGGGTTGTATTATCATCCCCCATTAGCGAATGGAGAAGGAAGGAGGCAGAGAGGTTGAGGCCCAAGTTTTCAAGAGTTTCCACTCCTTGGGTTTGATTTTAGAAGCGCTGAACATGCATAACTCCAGCTAAAGCTAGTTACCTGCAGGTGCCCAGCACTTCTGACAATGAGGCCCTCAGAGTCTTAAGTTGGGTGCTGAGAACTGAGGCCCCCAGAATCAGTAAAGGCTTTTGAAATCGTGCGTTCACAAGCCACGTAGTGAGTGAGAATTAGAGCTCAGGAGTGCATGGGTGCGTTGCCTTTCTGAGATGAGCTGCCTGTGAATATCATAACACACGCTGCAGCTTCTGGTCTCTACCTGTCTTTCAGTTCTGGGATCAGAAGTTTGGAGGAAGTCTGCCTTCAGGTGACAGACCTCCTGCCCAGCTTAAAGAAGCTGCGAGACCTGCTACCTGAACATGGCTGCCTCCTGCTGTCTCCAGGGAACTTCTGGCAGAATGACCGAGAGCGCTTTAACTCCGACCCTGATATCATCAAAACTATCCACCAGCACGAACCAAAGACACTGCAGACATCAGCTACCCTCAAAGGTAGGCGGCTGAGTGGTGCAGATGCTGGGAGAAGTGCCTTATCCCTGCTCTGCTGTTCCAGTCCCAGGTCTCTCCTGAGCCGATTGCCAGTAAAGCCAAATCGAGTAGTGGTTTTTACCTCACACAGAGCCTGGGATGAGACCACCAGACCCAGGGTTTTAAGTTGGATTTGGACCCAGCCCTCCAGAGGTGAAAAGTGGGTGTTCTAACCCCATCAGCCTGCTGCCTGTGGGGAGAGAGAGAACATCTGTGTATAGCCAACAACCCCCCCCACACCCTTCGATCTAACCATGCTGCTTTCTCCCACCCTGTCTCTTTCTGGTTGCTCTGAGAACAGCACCGGCTGCGCTGCCTAAAGGCGGGGGGTGGGGGGATTGTCATAGGTGAGGAGTGAATGTTCCTAGTGCTCCCTCTTGTCCTTTCATTGATCGTTGCCTGGAGTAACCTATGGGGCTCATCCTCAAGTGGGCTTCTGGTGCCAATGAAAGTCTCTTGCTTTAATTAAAATAAGGAATCTGGCCATGTCTGAAGTCATGCTGCTCCCTGGTTCCACAGAGTTAGAGGATTGTTCACTCCTTTCTGTATAAGGGGATCCAATTGAGGTCAGGACCCCTGTAATCCCTCCTGCCTCAAGAGGGGCATTGGAGCCTTGAGACTTGTTGATTAAAAGGTTTCCCAGTTCAGGACCCACAATGTGGTCAGCACTATAACACCCCAAAGGAAGACAGGACTCTGTCCCCGGGGACCTTACCTTCTCCCAAGCAGAAAACGAACACACACACAAACGCACACTCCCAGAGAATGTGCTGCTGTACTAGTTAGATTGAGTAGAGGAGGCCAGGCTTAACGGTCTGAGCACAACCTCAAAACACCACAGCTGCAAACCTCACTCAGTCTTTGCTCTCTCCCAAGGCAGGTGACTGAAGTTCCATTTTACTGTGTGTGGTGGTAGGGACATGGGGTTGGGGGAGCCCTGGAAGGCAAAGGCCCTGCTTGCTCTGTGGGGACCTGGCAGCCCCTGTAATAAGGTGGGCCGTGGTTCTCCAGCATCCTGGCCTATCTGGTGATGAACACCCATGCATCGTCCCTCAGTGACCTTTGTCCAGGCTCATGGTGTTTTGCTCCCATTGCGTTTGCAGATCTCTTGTTCGGAGTCCCGGGGAAGTACAGCGGCGTGAACCTGTACAACAGGAAGCGGGTGGTGTCCTACACTGTCACTCTAGCTCTCCAGCGATATGATTCCAGGTAAGGCGCTTTGGCTCTGCTACTCCCATGTCAGGTCACCTGCCTGTTGGGCTCCCGTCTTCATCTCCTGGGAAGCTGGTTGGGTCTCCTTATTTATCCTTTCACTGTTCTGGATAGAGCTGTGCAGAGCACGGTCAGATCCTCAGAGGGAAGGCACTATAGAAGCACAGAGTATTATCATCATCAGTATAAAGCTATCCGTCTCCACTAGACACACAGCACTGTCGCTTTAAAAAAACCCAGTACACCCCAGCATTCTTCTGCTGATGGCTGCCCCTGCACACAATCACAGTCGTCTTTTCAACACATATTTGTAGTAAGTGGAGTCGTTGCCTTCCTGGTGGCAGTTGGTTGGCCTGGGGAGTTTGCTTCAGTCCAGCTCCTGATGGATGGGCTTCTGCATCCCAGTGAGCACCATCCTGGTTGGCAGTAACTGGCTCCCTTGTTGGCCGTCTCATCAGAGAGTGCACAGACTGAATGGGACTAGAGAGCGAATGCTCCTCTCCCTCCTCCGCGCGGTTCTCCCAGGGCAGCCTGGCAGGCCGGCCGGTGGAAGTTTGTCCTGCTGCTGCCCATGCCGTGCATGGGGGAGAGAAGCCTCCCGTCTCCAGGCCTGTCCATTAGCATCATTCATCAGCACTACTTACCAAACACCTGCAACAGGAAACGTGTTTGAACCTACAGCACGCGCCATCCCCCAGAGCCAGAGTTCTTGGTAAACCCCAACCCCCTTCTCTAAACACCTTTAATGAGGTCTTGCAGCTCCCCTCTCTGAATCCTCCGCAGGAACGCTGTAGATCTCAGGGGAACTTGGTGATACACCGGCGACGAATGAGGTGCAAAACCGAGACAGGCAGAGCTGGCCTTGCTCTTGGTTGCCGAACATTGCATAAATCTATAGAGCCATGTTCCCAGCTGGCTGCAGCCCCCGGGCCCTCCTCTGAGGGGGGTGTTAGGTGCACAGCACAGCACCAGGGTCACGTCCTTCTGCCTTTCTCCCGTGCCAGGTTCCTCACCAGCCTCCGCTCCCGGCTGAAGCTGCTGCACCCTAGCCCCAACTGCACCCTGCGGGAGGAGCACGTTGTCCACGTCCACTTCAAAGAGGAGATCGGCATCGCTGAGCTGATCCCCCTTGTCACCACCTACATCATCCTCTTTGCTTACATCTACTTCTCCACACGTAGGTTTGTGGGGAGCAGGGAGGGCGAGCGCCCCGTCCATGGGCTTCACAGCAGAGGGGGCCCCAGGGACCTGATGGCACAGTACACCCTGCCCCACGTGTAGGGAGGGCAAAGCACCTATCTTCAGTGCTGCAGTCTCCTATCACTCCTGCAGCCAGGTGAAGCTGAAATCCCACTGGGACATAGAACTAGGACGTGGAGGGGACGAGGCCCTATTAGGTTTCAGCTATTCCATTCCCTGAGCCAGTGCAGGGTTGTTCCCTGTGGCATATCCTACAGGGCTCTGACCTGTTCAGTTCTAAATGCCCCATGTGATGGCACATGCCCCGCTTCTCCTGGGGGACCAGCCCACGGCTAGAAAGATCCCACATACAGTCTGCGGTTGTGCCGTGAGGACCTGCCACTGATGTGAGGTTACGTATGCTCCTTTCACACATCTCTGGGCCATCCTGTAGCTGGAATGAGAGTCTGTGGCCCACCCCTGCGTTGCTCTCTGCTGTGTCCTTTGGCTGGAGCGTGCCTCTCTAGTTCTGTGCTGCTAGGTCAGCACCAGCCAGGCGCCCGAGGCCTTGAACCCACCTCTACCATCCCTGGCTAGCACGCTGCCTGTTGAAGTGAATGAGCCCACGGATCCACTCCCCATGACGGGGGGGTTGGCATTGGCTTTCCCCCAGTGACGTGAGCCTCGTGTTCTCTCTCGCAGGGAAGATTGACATGGTGAAGTCGAAATGGGGCTTGGCCCTGGCCGCGGTTGTGACGGTGCTCAGTTCTCTGCTCATGTCGGTGGGTCTGTGCACGCTGTTTGGCCTGACGCCTACTCTCAACGGAGGGTAGGTATCCAGAAATCAGAGCCTCCTGCTAAAAGAAGGGGCAAAGGGAGGGTGGGTGCTCACCTGTCTGATGCCAGCTACTTAGCCCTTTGTGTCCAGGATCGAGGATTTTCTAACCATGCCCACTTTCGTTGGCTGATCACTTTCCACATTGCTTGGCCCTGCTTCCCCAGGACACTGATGGACCGGATGGCTCCTGGCCTCATGGGGACATTTTGCTGCACATCCGTCACACCTCACTGCTGATGGATTAGTATCCGTCTTTTCTCCCTAAACATCAGCAGCTTGGCACCTAGGCAGCCCCTTCCTGCTCCAGTCACCATGGCTGGAAGCCTGCTCTGAATCAGACCGATGCCCAGGGCAGGAGGTTGTGTGTCTTTGCCTTCCCTGGCCGAGGTTCTCTGCATTTTGCTCAGTGAGGTTGGAGGAACACGGCACTCGTGGCTGATGGGGACTAGCAGGGAGGCTTTGGGGCCGTTACTGGTGGGGATTATTGACTCTTCCCTTGGGTGGGGAGGTGTCCATGTGTGTTTCGCTCCAGGCGTTGGGTGACCTCCAGGTTGGGGTACTGCACTTGGCCGTACCGAGGTGGGAAGCTGCATGTTCCGGAAAGGTTCCACCAGGCTCAAAGCTCAGCAGCCTTCCCGCTAAGTAACACAGGGCCCTGTGAGCGCATCACCCAGGTGCTCGCTCTCCGTAGGCTTCCCACTGAACACAGCACCCAGGTCAAGATCTCTGTCGAAGGCCACGTGAGAGATCGCCTCTCCCTCCAGCACAGCCACCCCCCTTGCCAGCTGCGTTCCCCTGGGCCAGTGACGCTGCCAGCCAACGGGGGAGGCTGGGGAGCGCGGGAGACAGAACTCTCAGGAGCCAGCTCTCGCCTGAGGAACTGCCTCCCACAAGAGCTAAGAAGGCTCACGGCCTCACTGCACTCAGAACTCATTTCTTCTGCTTCGCTCGTGAGGGTAACAGCCTGGTACGTTGTGGCCCATTCTCGCACCCGCTCTTCATGCTGGAGCAGCCGCCGGCACCTCTTGACTCCCTGCCTACTCCTGACCCCCACAGTCTGGTTTCAAAGGTAGGCTTACCACAGAGACTTGACTGCGAGGGACGGAGGATGGGGTCCTCCTGCGGGGGACACACGTAACCCATTTTGTTAGGTCTGGTGGCAGCCCCTGATCTCTCTGAGCAGGGTGGTTTTGTTGGCCTCTTGTGGGAGTGGCTAGGTGAGGTCCTTCCCCAAGTTAACTCCTCCTTGGACAGATGCCAGATGGAGGTTATGGGCATAGACTCCTCTCTCTCAAGGGCTCTCACAGGGAGGGGTCCCACAGGGATCCATCTTGTATCCCATGTGCATAGGGCTGCAAGGGGAGATAGGGAGGCACTTGGACCCTTCAGTATTTGAAAGGCAGTAGGATCTCTCTTCCTTTCATCAAGCGCTGATGCTCTGGTCTCTCCTTTCCCAGCACCTGTCAGAGGCGGGGACGTGATGGGAGCCAGCTGGCTTGGTCTGGGTGAGATGGAAGCGGTGCGGACAGGCAGGGGTGGGTTGAGAGCCAGCTACCTGAGAGATCACCTCTCCCTGTGTCCCTTTGGACCCTTACCATCTGCTGGGGTTCCCTTCCTGCTGATCATGAGGGGTAGCTTTCCAGGCCTGGTGGCGAGGTGTCCTCGGGGGAACCTGCACCCTCTGGCAGTGCGCCGGAGCTTGTGTTTGGCCAGCTTCAGGGTGCCGTGTCAGCCCTGTTTGTTTGGTCAAGCTTTCATGTGACCTGTTCCTGCAGCAGGGTTACTGGAGGGGAGAGTTTTAGTAGAGCCTTTACTTATTCCAGGTCTCTAGCGCTGTGGTTTTGTACAGTACTATCATGAAGCATGCTGTTTGGAGGGCAGTACACAGATCCATAAGAACGGCCACACTGGGTCAGACCAAAGGCCCATCTAGCCCAGTATCCTGTCTGCCGACAGTGGCCAATGCCAGGTGCCCCAGAGGGAATGAACAGAACAGGGAATCATCAAGTGATCCATCCCCTGTCGCCCATTCCCAGCTTCTGGCAAACAGAGGCTAGGGACACCCTCCCTGTCCATCCTGGCTAATAGCCATTCTATATACCAGCCATAGATTATCAGCACTCTTTGCCCTGCTAGGGCAGCTTTCATCTGAGGATCTCAAGGCACATTGTGCAAATATTAATGAGCTAGAATAATAATAGGAGGGAGGCATAATCCCTGCTTTACAGATCAGAAAACCAAAGCACAGGGAGTGAACTGACATGCCCCAGGGGTCCGAAAGAGTCACTGGCAAAGCCGGGAGGAGAGTCTGGGAGCCCCCTTGCTCTAATCACTGGGCGTCTCCCTAAATGTTTTCCAGAAACCAGGAAGCAATGGGAGTGTTTCCATTGGCTTCTTTGGGTGATGGAGCAGACCCTAATGCAGCACCTTCTGACATCAAGGTGCTGAGCTCAGGATAAATGCCTGGATAGATGCATAAGCATGGCACCCTTTCCCCGCCCCCACCCCCCAGTCCTGTTCCTGTTTCAGTCCCTTTCTCGGTGATTGCCTCATTGTGGCAGACAGTAACAGCAGTATCCTTCGCAGTGTCTCAGCACGGATGGGGACTGTTGAACTTGTATTTGTATGGTTTGGTTGTAGGAGGCAAACAGCTTGTGTTTGTGCAGCACACGCCCAGCCCTTGTTTCAAGAGAAGCTGGTGTCTCCTTGGATTTGAAATTCTTACTCATGTACAGTATTAAACGTCCTGACAGCTCTATAGCTCAGTGATCTGTTTCATCTGCGAGCCTGCAGCGTGGTGATCAGTTTGTACCTTCTGAAGCAGTGGGGGCCGCTGGCTAACAAGCACATGGCTGATGAGAGGGTTTGAGTTTTGTCTCTCTCGTTTCCACTACCTACCAATGACCTTGAAGGTTTATTGTAGAATCCACACAACAAACATTCGCTAGTTACATTCTGTGCAGGGCTGCCGCACAGCAGACGTCTCTTGTCTGTCTCTCTCTCTCTCTCTCTCCAGCACTTTCCATCCCATAGAGCTTTTTTCACCCACGGCCCTGGGTCTTAAATGACCACTCAGGGGACTGACAGAATTTGGCTGGTTAATGGCAGGGTCTTCTAATAAAGATGAGCCGAGCTGTACTTGCTGGACTGGAGGATTCTTGAAGCGGTCTCTTTCGACAGGAAGTTGCCCAGAAGTGATCTCTGGGTATGTGTATTTGTTTCACCAGTGAAATGCAGTTCCTACATGGCAGCTTTGGCCAGGAAGTGAAGAGAGTACTATATCCAGCTGAAACTGCAAAGGGACTGAACACCTTTGTTGGGGAAAAAAATGCTGAGATCTTTAAGACAAACCATGACTGGCTAGGGCTGGGACTTATCTGAAGACAGCATCTGTAACAACATGCTGGTGTAACTGTCTAGTCCAGAGTCCGAGGAATGAGCGCCTCCGGGACTGAATCCCCAGTAGCATTTCCGGGAGGTTTCCTCCTGGAAAGTCTCCTGTCCCAGTACTGGCCCAGCTTAGCTTGTGAGATCCGTCAAGACCACAGCCCGAGGTGGTGTGACTGCAGACTTCTAAAGAGACAGCCGTCTCTAGCCACGTAGGGCATCCAGAGGAGGCTATAAAGCGGGCTTGAGGGGATGTTTTAGGGATCTGTGACAATTCGGATTAACTTTTCCCCTGGTCATGTTACAAACATTAAGAGAGAAAGTGACAACACAGCTGTTTTCCAGCCCTTTTCCCTCTCCGTTATCTGCAAGGCTGCTTGTCGTTTGTGATTCTTCAGACATGGAATTTGCCACAGAATCCACCTCCAGCCACAGGGTCTGCTCTAGAATCAGAGCTTTAATTAAACAAAAGATAGTTCTAACCCTTATGGTGTGAAGATAACCAGAAAAGCGTGACCTGAATTGAACTGAGCAGGGAAATCTGCAGGCAACCTGGAACAAGGCTCTGAGAGCTGTCAAGTGCCCAGTTCATTTCAATTTGTTGTTGACTCTGACGTGCTGAAGATGGTAACTGTTAAAATTGCCAGTGTTTGCTGTTTAACTGCTGATCCTTGTAGCAGAAACACAGCTCATGTGCTTCTCCCATCGTCCTACACTGCTTCCCAAGGCTTTCCAGATGGGCGAAGTCCCAGCTATCCCTACTCAACTGCTACAACCTTCTGCTTCCCCTTGGCAGCTTCTGTGACGGAGTTATGTGGTGTTGATGCAAAACTCGGCAGCATGTTGAGAAGCGGCAAAAGTGGGGCCAGCGTAGAGTAAATGGGATTCACTGGGGAGCTCAATAACGCAGGAGCTGAGTGCCTCCTCCGCTTTCCTAACGAATGCAATAAAACCTGCACTTTACAATGGAGCTGCCCCCCAGTTTCCAGTCTGGGGTGCCACAGAATCCAGGGGGCCTGGCTGCAGAATGGAGGTGTAGCTTGTAGTGGGGGCTGTGGTTCTGCATTGGGGGTGTGGACAAAGGGGGAGGGGAGAACGCACTAGAGGAAATGTGTTATACAACCCCCTCCCCCCATGCACTGGGTAGCTATGTCATGATAGATAGAGGCTTATGGAGACCCTGCACCTTTCTCCCCCATTCCCTCCGCCCCCGTTTAATACTTGCATCACTTTCTTATGCAACCATTGAGAGGGCATTAGCCAGTGCCTGTGTGATTCCCGCACCGTGACCTTCACACTACGGACGTGCCCCTGCGGCTCGCTCAGCTGATCTGGTGTGAGTGCAGCGTCCTCCTCTCCTGGCACAACTCATTGGCCAATGGGCCGGGGCCCTTTGGATCACGCCACTGCTACTTGGGAGCTCAGTCGCCACGCTTGCCGCACTTCCATTCGCTGGCAGCTTCGGTGAGAGCAACCAGCACCGCCGGGCAGCCCAGGGAGAGGGTTGTGGCTTTGCTCTTGTTTGGAAAAGGAGCCGGTGCGGCTTCCTCTTGCCATGTTTGTTTAATGGATCAGTTGGAGTGAGATAGCAGAGCTGCCGTCCGTGCCAGACTTGTCGGTTCCCTAAATGCAGCGTTTGACCTTGCAGGGGGGAGGAGGATGACAGGAGGAAGCCGTTCTGCCCTCAGTTACACGTGTGTGGCTCCCGCTGAAGCCAGTGGCAGCTTCTTATGGGTAACTGAGGGCAGCACTTGGTCCTTTGGGCTCCACACATAGAATGTCAGGAGGTCATCTAGTCCAACCCCCTGCTCAAAGCAGGACCAATCCCCTGACAGATTTTTGCCCCAGATCCCTAAATGGCCCCCTCAAGAATTGAACTCACAATCCTGGGTTTAGCAGGCCAGTGCTCAAACCCCTGAGCTACCCCTCCCCCCGGATTGCTCTTCCTCCAGCCCCGTCGCTTAGCCATCCTGCCTGCCTCAGCTTCGCCACGGAGAAGAGTTTCCGTCTCGGCTCCCTGTCCTGCCCACCCCTTTCCGTGCCACACAAGCCCAGTGTTCGTAATGCAGCGGTCGCCTCTGGGGCACGGACTTCTGAGCCCCCACGAGAGAGATCAATGTCTGTGAATGAGTCTGGCTGGTGGTGGCGGAGAGGTACCTGGAACCTGCCATGCTCAGCAAATCCTGGGTACTGGCCCTATGCTTGGAGCAGCTGATTGCTTCCCCTGAACAGAGCCCGCCCGGCCGTTGCGAGCAGCCCAGAGACTAGTGGCGGTAGGAGGGAGGGGTGACGGGAGCCCCAGCAGGGGCCAGGGAAAGTCTTGTTGTTTTGGAAAAACGAACTCATTGTCCTCCCTCCAGCCCAGCCTCAAAACTCTCCTCTGCCGGGATGCTACTGCCTGCTGTCGTGCAGCGACACTCGTGGTGATCAGTATTGTGTCATTGGTTCCTTGCACTGCCCCACCTGTTCCCAGCCCACCGTGGTAGCTGTCTAGGCACCCTAGTGCGGAGGGGAAGAGAGAAATCTTCCCAGAAGCTGATGTCTGTCCTCACTAGACAGGCAGATTGTAATTGCTCATGCTGGAGCTGGGTCAGGGCACTGGAGTTTCATGCTGTTACCGGCCTTTAGAAAGGCCGCAAGGGGGACCGGTGGGCTCATGGGCCACGGAGCCTTTCACTCTAGGTCACTAGTTCCACACCTGGCCGGTGACCAAAGGCCAGCACTCACTGTGGGAAAGGAGTGGTGAGCTCTGGATGTCCATGTTGCTGCACACCTATCCCCCCAGAGGGCTAGCTGATAGGCTGAGCAGGGAGGCCCGGGTCTGACATGACCCCTCCAGTGCAGCCGGGAGACTCGGGCAGGGCAGAGCGAGTCGGTGCAGCGCAGGCTGCAGCTGGTCTGTGATCAGAGGGCTTCAGTCTCCAGGGCCACAGGAGTTCAGCAGCACTCGCGGATCACCGCAGAGTGACACCAGACAGGCTGAAGGGATTTCGTTCAGCGGCGGGAAGGTCGGTGTTAGGAAACCCCACTGCTGGGCCTTCAGTGCCCGTCCAGCTGGCACTCCCCTCCTTTGACCCCCCCTCCTGTAGGATAGGCCAGGCTGTCCTCTTCCGTCGGCCTCCATCTGCCTCGCGCTGTCCTGCACAGCTTCCCCCTGCGCTCTCAGCACAGGCTCGCTCCAGGGAGTTCCCCCACAGTGAGCAGAGCTGAGTCTGTGTAGTAGCATCTGTAGGGTGAGGAACCTGCTCCCCATGGGCATCTGCCCTCCCCCCGTCCCCTGACTCTCTACAGTGGTTTGGTTTGATTAGTGCAAGGATTGCCTGAGGTTCGTCAGTGGGGTTTGTGTTGGCGGCTGGGTCTGACTCCTCCCCAACTTGCTCATTTTCGTTTACTTGCCGAAGTGCTCATGGCTCTGACGCTGGCTGAAGGGCCCCCTGTGCTGGTGCCGTACAGACATCCAGAAGGGCGCTGTCCCTGCCCCGGTGAGCTTAAATCTAACGTTAGAATGGCACGTAATGGCCAGTCTGTAGCAACACGGCACTGCCGAAACGTTACCGTCTGTCTGAACCAGACACTGCACAACCTCTCGCCTGGTCCCAGAAGAGCAGGGTGTGAGAGGGGCCCTTACTGCAGCTCGCTGGTGTATCGAATGAGAGCCCAGAACCTGCCCTGCACTAGGCTGAAGGGCGCCTGGGTGCTCCCTTGTTTCTCACACTTGGCTTTGTTTTCCTAGGGAGATTTTTCCGTACCTGGTGGTGGTGATTGGCCTGGAGAATGTGCTGGTTCTTACCAAATC